TCATTGTACCTAATTTATATCATCTGAACTAAATAAATAAACGCGTGATACGGTCACAACAATTTCTTTAGGTTTTTATCAAAAAAAAAAAATAAAGCTTGCTTCAGGTACAAACTCAAATCCATTGTTTTTTAATATAAAATAAGATCACATTCGTAGCTTAAAAGTAAATGTATCTACTTAAAGAATTCAGTCTACTATATTTTCTAAACTTACTTAAACAAACTAAAATTCACTTTTTTTTCATAAAATCACATTCGTAGTTAATAGTTACATATATCAAATTAAAAAATTCAGTCCACTACACTACACTTTATAAATTTACATATTTACATACTTAAAACTAACAATCTCTTCTCTTACTTTCCATTTCCTACTTATAAATAGCGAATTTATATTTTTTTATATAGTAAGTTTTTTTGGTGTATACTTCAATATTTGAAAGGCNTACATATATCAAATTAAAAAATTCAGTCCACTACACTACACTTTATAAATTTACATATTTACATACTTAAAACTAACAATCTCTTCTCTTACTTTCCATTTCCTACTTATAAATAGCGAATTTATATTTTTTTATATAGTAAGTTTTTTTGGTGTATACTTCAATATTTGAAAGGCTTTGTTTCATCTCTTTTAGTGTGGCCAAAGTTNCTTCTAACTTCGCTTTCCTATCTCTTCTCTTACTTTCCATTTCCTACTTATAAATAGCGAATTTATATTTTTTTATATAATAAGTTTTTTTGGTGTATACTTCAATATTTGAAAGGCTTTGTTTCATCTCTTTTAGTGTGGCCAAAGTTTCCTTTTGAAAGTCAGCCTGCTGATCCGTCTGCCGCTCAAGGAGTGCAATTTGTTTTTCTTCTCTCCTTTTAGGGTTAGAGCTGCTATTTCGGCCATGCTCTCGCGAAGGTATCACATTTCGCGAAGGCCCTGGGATATCGTGGTCTGAATATATTTCCACTTCCGTAACGGACTCATTATCGTCATTATTTTCTATTCCAAATTCTTCGCCTGGCGGATTGTTGTAAGTCGTGTAGCAGATTTGAGAGTGGAACTGTGTTATTTGGCCCACCTCCAGTTGCTAAATTCTCTGCGTGGTTGTGAGCGCTCTTTTTCTTTGTTTTATATTTTAAATCGTTCCAAACCTACAGTAATAAAATATTTTAATCTTTCAGTTCCAAATATATGCACTACTAATATGCTTACTCGTTGCCATGCATCGTGTTGGTGGTCCTACTGAGTTCAGCTCCTGAGTAATTTTTTCCCAGCGTGGTCGGTATTCTCCTCCATTAGCGAAGCAAGACGCTCTAGTTGATTCTTTGTACTCACAACTCTCGGTCTAAAGAAATTTTTGAATCGGGTTTATAACTAGTTCATAATCTATTTTTGCTCATTTTAATACTTACATTATTCCAATTTCTCAAAATAATTAACAAATTTTAATTTGGTATACTAGCACAGCAATCTATCGTTTAAAAATGGCGAACCGCTTGCAAGCGTATGAAATCGAACGGCTGAGACGATAGTTATCGTTAGGCAATATTNCGCTTGCAAGCGTATGAAATCGAACGGCTGAGACGATAGTTATCGTTAGGCAATATTATATTTTTACGATATACGATAAACGCTAACTATCGGATTTCATACGATAGACTTGAATTCTTAATACGGGATAACAGAATGCAAGCGATTATCGTGTATGTATCGTATGAATTCATAATAGGGGGGAATTTTAAAGGCACATTAGTAGCCATATCTACTTAATTTTTGTGAAACAAGGAAGGGCGCTTGGAGGAGGTTCTTTTATTATTAAACGCGTCATAATATGGTATCAAAAATACTTGTTACAAAAAAACGTATTCATTCCGAGATAATTCATTTATATGTGAAAAAAATTTTTCCTATACAAAAGTAAAAAAATTCCAAATTGGGAACAATGCACCAAGCGGATAATAAATTACCAAATGAACCACCTATTGCAACTGTGAAAGTTATCAGCTGTTTCGAAGACTGCAAGTTTTTGCAAATTTTGTAAACTGCTCAGAGTTTTTGCTGTTGGATGATTTTCTGTGGAGAATACAAAAATGCTCCTACCAAATTTACCTATCAGAAAGTCAGAATGGCGTAAGTTGCACTTTTTTACTGGTTTTGCGTTCAACAAATTTTTCTGATATTTTAGTCTTCCCCTCAATTTTACTCGCTATGATTATTTTATTTTCTGGCTGCTAGTACTTACCGGAAAATTTTACGAAAAGACAGCGATTTTTTTTTTGATTTAAGTAAGAGTTTCGTTTTTTCTGGGCAACCTTTCGATGCCCTGGGGGACCGCACTAATGATCAGTTGTCCGTCAATCTGGACCGCCAGAGGGCTGCCGCCCTAAGGCCGAGATCGCTACCGAGGACCGTCCGCAAGCTTTACCGAGGACGGATATTTGTACTCACTGTCATCCAGGGCCGCCGCATCATCACCGCTAGGGCCCGTACCGCTGCTCTCATCACCGGCGCCGCTATTAGCACTGCCGCCCGAAGGCCGAAGCTACAACCGTGGGCCGCCCGCCATCATCACCGAGGACTGCGAACGCTAACTATTGCCAACCAGGGCCGCTGTCACCGTTGCCACCATCAGGGCCCGCTGCTACTGTCTTCATCACTGGGGGCGCCGCCATTATCGTCGCCCCAGGCCGCCGCTACTACCCGTCACGAGTACGGTAATCGCCACTGCGAACGTTAACCATCGTCGCCCAGTACCGCTGTCACCGTCGTAGTTAAAAAGGGCCGCATTCACCCTTCGCCACAATCAGGGCCTCATCATTATATGGGCCACGGCCAATGACACCGCTAAGGCCGCCACCACCACTGCAAGGGAANTACCCGTCACGAGTACGGTAATCGCCACTGCGAACGTTAACCATCGTCGCCCAGTACCGCTGTCACCGTCGTAGTTAACAAGGGCCGCATTCACCCTTCGCCACAATCAGGGCCTCATANACCGTCGTAGTTAAAAAGGGCCGCATTCACCCTTCGCCACAATCAGGGCCTCATAATTATATGGGCCACGGCCAATGACACCGCTAAGGCCGCCACCACCACTGCAAGGGAACTGCCGTCGCCGTCACAACCACCGCGACTGCTCTCATTGCCGCGCTCTTCGCTACGACTGACGCGTACCACTGCCAATCTTGCTGTCGCTAGTAGCACTCCCGTCGCCGTACAATTACCCGCCGAATAATCTCCGACACCGACTGCCGACTCTCTCTTTACCTTCCGCTCTCCCCTGCACGACAAGTTGCCGGCAGTGATTGGACTTCTACCACATTGTGGTAGATCTGCCACTTTTTTGAGCATCTACCACATCTACCACAAAAGGTCTGAAATCTACCACATATTCTCATTTTTGAGTAGTTTTATTTTTGCTCGACATAGTTTTCTTAAGTTTAAGAGCAAAAATTGTCCAACACTAAACACTAACAATAGGCAGAATGGGATTATAAAATAAACTGTAAATAAAATATAAATTTTTTTAAATATTTAATTTTTAAACAGGAAACGTTTTTTTATTGAGTGAAATTGCAAAATATATGATTATAAAAATAATTAATAGCGAAAATTAAAAAAGCGGCGATTTTTGTGAATGTATTAGCACATTTCAGTGCATCTAAAGTTTCTAAAGCGTTGTTTACTTTTGCTTGAGAATTGTCAAAATCGGCAAATAGCATGTAGCGGTTTCTGGAACGTGCCACATTTGTTCGCTACATCGTGATGTGATAAAAAGAAAAACTGGCAGCACTCCGCAAGGTTGCAGAAATCTTTCAAAATATGTTCGAAAAATATCTTGATATGAAAGGAACTGCTTTTGCCGAAAGTCAACGCAATTTTTAGCAACTTCAATCTTGCCCTTTATTATACTAAAATTAATTTTTTTTAAGATTCTAATTAAGATGTTTGCAATTTATGTTAAACCTTGGAGATTTTTTTTTAATTTTTGTACAAAGTTTGATCCAAAACCTGAGATCTACCACATTTTTTTGAAATCTACCACATTTTTTTCCAGATTCTACCACACAAATTTTTTTTTCAAGTCCGATCACTGGTTGCCGGTCGGCCTTCTTGATAGCCACGTGTGTGTGTGGGTGTGTTCGACTTAATACACAAATCATTGTGTTTTATTTGGTTGGAGTTAGTGGGACCTCCGCTGGACTCTGGAGCGGCTGAGCATACCTCAGCCTTCGACAAAACCCACCTCATAATTTTTTGAAGCATTTTACAGGTATATGTAATTTTATAAGGACTAGCAGTTATAGAAAGATTTAGATCATTTCGACGTATTTTCCAAATGTGCCTTCACTTAAGGTGTTTTTGAAATAAAAATTACGCTCAAGATCGCAGAATATTTTATCTTTAAAAGTTAGTTTAATCTGAAGGCACACCTCTAAGGTATTAAATTATTCGCAATTGTTTGTAGAATACAATACATACTTAAAAAGTTCTTAAAATTAAATGCTTCAAAACCTATACGCAATAAACTGAACATTTTGAAATGTGGAGCTACAGACTTTGAGTTACTTGCCATATCGTTATTTTGTAATGCACACTTTTCTTACCTACTACATATGAAGTGTACACATAAGTGCTAAATGCCCATTTAATTTCAAATCAGAATATGGTGTGCTTCAAAAGTTATGACATAATTAATTGTGCCCCTCTTAAAAATTACATAAAAATTTACTTGTTTTCATTATTTTTTTTAAATTTAAACACCTATATTTCAAAAGTCATGCAGCAAATTGATCCACTTTTTTTTTTTGAGGCTTCAAGTATACGTCAATGAAGTATATCCATAAGCAACCAGCTTGATTTAGTTTACAACAGTGAAAATAAAGCTAAATAACACAAAGGTTACCTGTTTTTTAGATTTGCCCATATGTATAAATACTTGAATATTCTAAAGGTAGTATAAATAATACTGATTATCACGGTTTACGGTTTATTTTAAGGTTTATCCGGAGAATTTCAACATAGAAGCAGAAGTAAAAAATCAATTTACGAAGGATGCATGGCTGACGCGTTGGTTTTATGGAAAATGTAAAGATGAACGGAGTTGGTGCCAATAATTTGAATTATGTTTGTTTTTGTACAGATACAAATATGTAAAGGTAAAACCGTTCGCTCAATTCGTCGGCCATTATTTATTTTTTAAAGTTTGTCTACCTTATACAATTTAAATTTTCAGAGCAACTGAAATGCCAAATAAAAATAAAACAAAAAATAAGTTGATGAACATATTCAATTTTGCTTTTATTTGTGACTGAAAGTGAGAATGTATGTGTGAGATTGAAAATTTGAAAACATTTTTGTTATGCGGCATTTCATGTCACCTCGGCCATCGCACTGCTATACCATTTTACCGTAAAAATCAAAACCCAACAGAATTCTACATTTTAAGTGCTATGCGTTGGGTAACCGCTTACACGCAAAGCCCGTTTAACCGATTTTTATGTGACAACTCTCATGCAAAGCTAAGTATGCATAACTGGGCTATAAGGAATGGATGAAAGCTGAAGGGATTGATTTTGCCGATATGACGTAGGGTTGCCTATTTACAATGGATTTAAATTTTAAGAAAACGTCAGACATATCTTTCTCTAAAGTGCTGTATTTTGGAAACCTTTTACGAAACTTAATGAAAAAAAGTATTTATTTCGTCTTATTATGGGCTTTAATTATAAATTTTTTACATTAATATGTAAATAAGGCGACAACCCTCCTACATGTAGTTTAAAAACAAAGCATTTTCAAAACCATTTCGATTGATACCCATATTGTAATATGTACGCAAGTCATTAACATTATTAAATAATTTGAATATAATTTTTTAACAGGTGGCAACTCTTTAAAAAAAAAAATTAAACCTTATTGCACATCTAAAGGTCAAGCCCTTTAATTTGGCACATACATTTTGACAATCGAATTAACGGTGTAGATCTGATGACATTAACAAAAAATCCTTAGCGTAACAAATATAACACGCATAACACTGGAATGGCCCCATAGATTGTATTGATATTGGTCTTAGTTGAAGTTTCATTTACGAGTCATGCTGTTTTTGTTTTTTAGATTTTTTCAATATTTTTTTTTAATTCTTGTCCTTTCCATGAGTCCTGTAATTGTGCAACTTCAGAGTCGCATTTCTTTGTAATTTTCCCTTATTCTACAATAAAAATCCTTTACAAGAAAAAAGAAATCGTTGATTTATCTCACCTCTGAGAGGCGCAATTTGATTTTGAAAATTTTTTTCCCCTAAATCGCCCATAGTGTGGCGGTAGTTTGAAAGATATCACTGTGTTATAAAGTACACAATCTATAAAGCATATGTTTCAAGTTTGAAGACGCCACGTTGTTTAGTATATGCTTGGCAGCAGTCAATAGTGAATGTTTTCAGTGAATTTGTGAAAATGGAGAAAATTGGTCATCGTTACGTGATACAATACTTTTATTTGAAAGGCCTCAGCCCATCCAATATAAAAGCTGAAATAGATGTAGGACGACATCTATCCCTCAACTTGTCAAGACAGTTGAAGACAACGACGCGACACCTACAGGACTTTAAGAGGAAAACACAATACAGATTTCATGTAGGCTTTACGTGATTTCCTGCCAACGGCTTTAACCACGGTGCCCGCATTTGGCACAACGGATTAATTTTTGCATTAATCACTGCCCTGAACTGCAAGCAATTCAGTACCAATTGGCAGTATGTGGTGGACACACTTACCACCTTGGTAGGGCCGAGGCCTACCTAAACCTCTGACGATCTGTGGATCACGACATCCGGTTGTAATGCAACTCCACATTGAACCATTGCTGGTTCTACCCGCATTTAGGTATTAAACCACAGCCACCACGATACTCCCCAAAGGGGCCGTACCCATGAACAGACCGGAGTAATGCTCGCCGGCGAGATTTGCTGGACTGGCTCAACTCACCCTGACCCACTTAACTGACTCAGCTCACACTAGAACGACTTACACGACTACTTCACTCCACATTCATACTCCGTCTTGCTCGTCTCACAAGTCTAATCGCCTCGCTCGTGGGCACCCTCCACATCCAGGAGCGGTGACACCACTTGCTCAACTTTCGACCGATCGAGTTGCTCGACACACATTCACCATCTTGCTCCGTCTTGCTCATCTCACACGTCCTACTCGCCTCGCTCGTGGGCACCCTCCACATCCAGGAGCGGTGACACGGCTCAGCTTTCGCAACGGATCGAATTGCTCAACTTGCGCACAACTTTTTCACCATTTCCAACAAAACGGAATAAAAATTTATCGGGGTGATGCCAGATGGTGCTGGTTAAATATTGGCTGCATTTCTTTATTCATTCTGAATGTTTGGAATAAACTTTTTTGGTTTATTTATTCCTTAGAACGTTTCTGATGATATTTTGACGTATATTTCAAAAGCATTCTGCTTATTCCGGCTGTGAAATGGGATTATCCGGAATGTATAAAGAAACGCAGCCACTGTCTCCCAAAAGATACTATTCATATGTAGCTTGTATTTACATATTAGCTGATGGCACATATGAATGCAGGTAATGTCGGTTTGCTTTTCTATAGCTATTATTAATATTGAAATGAAACTTTTTTAGCGGCGGTTGGTTGATTGGGAGTAAATTGGCAAACTCAACGGAAATGGTGCAACGGAAATGGTTGGGACGGAAACAAGTGCTTCTCGAATGTATGGTATTAATTTAACAAAAACTTGCTAATAAAAGGTTAGAGGATAACACTTAGAAAAGGACCAATACGAGAATGAAAGTAAAGATGAGTACGTACATAGATAAAGGAAAGGATAAATGCAAAAGTAAAAATAAAAACAAAAATAAAGATGAGCAAAGATAAAGGCAAAAATTAAGATCATGGTAAATTTAAACACTTTACTTATTGTTTGAAATCAAAAGAAGCGCAGGTTTTGTTTCTTTAATATCGATTAATAAAGTTTATTTGAGCTTATACAATTTAATTGATAAGTATTTTGCAAATTAACACGAGGTCAGCTCTTGAGCGCAAAACGAACCCAACTTACGGAGAAAATAATCTATCAAAAGGAAAATGTCAAAAACTGTGAGGGTGGCCGTTGCATGCTATGTGCTTTGCAGATGCAGGGTTGCTTCTCAACATTTCCCGCCCACCTCGTCCACCTTTGCGACGAAATATCGTTTGCGACGGGTGACCGCCCACCGTTTGACTCTTCGGACTCAGTCTCTATTGGAAGCACTACCAGTTTCGATATTGCTCTCTTGAGGATTGAAGACTGGGTTCTTACGGTGGCTACTCGAACCGCTGCGTCATCGCCAGCGTGAACTTCGAGAACACGTCCCAACACCCATTGCGTAGGAGGAGCTCGCTCGTCTCGAACCAACACCAAGTTACCTACTTTTATGTTAGCTTTTGTGATCTGCCATTTGTGACGCGCCTGAAGTTCGTGCAAATATTCCGCACTCCACCTTTTCCAGAAATCCTGTTGCATTTGTTGTAGTTGCCTCCATTTTGTTAGTCGTCCCACCTTTATATCCAAAATATTAGGTTCAGGAAGTGCAATCAGTGGTCCGCCCACCAAAAAATGGCCAGGGGTCAAAGCCGTAAAGTCCGTTGGATCATCGGATATAGCCGAGATGGGCCTTGAATTTAAAACAGCTTCAATTTGTTTTAACACGGTATAAAACTCTTCAAACGTTAGCAGAGCATCACCGATAACACGTCGAAGATGGTGCTTCATACTTTTGATGCCTGCTTCCCATACACCTCCGAAGTTTGGAGACCCCGGCGGAATGAAATGCCATGATATGTTATTGGCTGCAACCGATCGTGCACCTGCTTCGAGTTGATTTCGGAATGCGACGAGGTCTTCTTTTAAACAGGCGTTGGCGCCAACAAAAGTTGTGGCACAATCGCTGTATAAGTCGGAGCAGTATCCTCGTTGAGAAAAGAATCTCCGAAGTGCCGCCAAAAACGCTTCCGTGGTCATATCGCTTACCAGCTCTAAGTGGATTGCGCGTGTACTGAGGCATACGAAAAGAGCGACGTAGCCTTTCAAGCTGCGAGCACCACGTCCTTTTGTGGCACGTACTTTAAAAGGTCCCCCATAGTCTAAACCGCTATGCTTGAAAGCAGGAGCAGGAGTGCATCGATGTACAGGCAAACTTCCCATTATTTGGGTTGCAGCAGATGATTTCTGTCGGAAGCATTTTATACACCGATGAATAAAACTTTTTATACAAGTGCGAGCATCAATTAGCCAATAACGTCGTCTGAGCGCGTGAAGAGTGACCTGTGTTCCGCCATGAAGCGTAGCCTCGTGTGCGTGTGAGATCATTAATTTACTAAAGTGACTTTCTTTTGGTAAAATTATTGGGAATCGTTCACAAGCGGGTAGCACTGCATTCTTTAGACGTCCATTCAAACGCAGAATTCCGTCTTCGTCAAGCATGGGATTTAGTTTTAGAAGTTTGCTTTTTGAATTACATTGCTTTCCCTGTCTAAGGCAAGAAATTTCGTTAGGAAAATGAATATTTTGAACGAATCTTACCCAAAATTGCATGGCTATTTTTCTTTCGGAAGCGGTACAGTACAAAGTTGTCTCGTGCTCCCTTTTCATAACAGATTTGACGAAGCGTTGACACCAAGCTGTAACGTTAAGTAGTCTGTGTAAGCTAGAGTAGTTGTGCAAAATCCAGCTATCATGCGTCTGCTGGGATACGGCCAAAAGCGATGATGCCTGAACATCATGCTCATCCGTTGAGATCGTCTGCTCAACCGAAATGCCAGCTGGCCAAAAGCATTTATCTT